AACTCTTTTAGCTTTTGCTTGTCTGTAAAGATTTTGATCTTTCCATCAAATCTGAATGAGAGCCTTGCTGGGAGTATTCCTGGTTGTGGGTTTTTTCCTTTATCACTTTAAATATGTTGCCCTTCTGGCCTGCAGAGTTTCTGATGAAAAGTCAGCCAATAGCTTTATGGGAGTTCCCTTCTATGTTATTTGTTGTTTTTCTTTGGCTGCTTTTAATATTGTCTCTGTCTTTAATTTTTGACATTTTAATTACAACATGTTTTAGTGTATTCCTCTTTGGGTTAATCTTGTATGGGACTCTCTGTGCTTCCTGGACTTGGATGTCTGTTCCCTTTCCCAGGTTAGGGAAGTTTTCAGTTATTATGTCTCAGATATGTTCTCAGTCACTTTCTGTCACTCTTCTCCTTGTGGGACCCCTATAATGAGAATATTAGTGCACTCAGTGTTGTCCCAGAGGTCTCTAATACTGTCCTCATTTCTTTTCCTTCCTTTTTTCTGTTCAGCATCAATGATTTCCACTACTGTGTCTTCCAGCTCACTGATCTGTTTCTCTGTATCATTTAGTCTACTATTGATCCTTCTAGTGTATTTTTAATTTCAGTTATCATGTTCTTCATCTGTTTGGTTATTCTTTATATTTTCTAGCTCTTTGTTAAAAACTTTTAATTTTCACTCTGTGTATCCATTCTTTTCCCATGTTCTCTGATCATCTTTATAATCACTGCCCTGAGCTCTTTTCTGGGTATTTGCCTATCTCCACTTCATTTAGTTTTTCTTGTGGGGTTTTATCTTGTTCCTTCATTTAGAACATGTTCCTCTGTTGCCTCATTTTGCCTAAGTTGCTGTTTGCATTTTTATGTTTCTGGTAGGTTGGTTATGTTTCCTGACCTTGGAGAAGTGGCCTCCTGTAGGCGACGTCCTATGTGTCCCAGCAGTGCATTCCCCTCTTAATCACCCAAGCTATATGCTCTCGTGGTTTCCTGCTATGAGGGCTGTGTGGGTCCTTCTGTTGTGGTGAGCTAACTGTGTGGGCCGTCTGGTAGGCTTGGTTGGCCCCTGTTCAGGTTGGTTGCTAAGCCCTGCCCTGTGCAGAGGCTGCTGGCCACTGGTTGGCATGACCAGGTCACAAGATGGCTGACTGCAGAACCCCAGGGGCCCCAGGGCTAGTGCTGGCTCACTGGTGGGTAGAGTCAGGGTCTAGAAAACACCAGGGCTGTTGCCTATCCTATGGTGGGTGAAGCAAAGTCCTGGGGTTAGTACTGGTCTACTGGTAGGCAGAGCCAGGTCCTGGAGTCTGGATGCAAGGCCAGTGGTCCCAGATCTGTTGTCAGATCGCTGGGGGGGAAGGGGGAGGGGCTGTTCCTGACACAGTTGGGTATGGGGTTTGCGATGTCCCAGAGCTTATGTTGGCCTGCTAGTGGCCAGGGCCAGGACCCAGGCCCAGAGAGTCCCAGGACATGCTCTGGCCTACTGATGGGCTGGATGGGTCTGCAGCCTGTGGGATTGTGGTTTTCTTGCATCTGGTGTCTGCCCCCTGGTGGCTGAGGCTGGTCCAGAGGCTAGAACTGGCTGCCTGGACAGCACGGCCAGGGCACGGCTGGGTCTTGGGGCTAAAAACCAGAGGGAGGATTTGACAATGGCCCTTGCCAACACCAATGTCCATGTGGTAGAAGGAACTCCCAAGAATGGCTGCCACCAGTGTCTATGTCCCCAGGGTGAGCTGCAGCTGCCTCCTGCCTCTTTAGAAGACTCTCCAAGATCAGCAGGTAGGTCTAACCCAGGCTTCTATCAAATGACTGCTTTTGCCCTGGGTCCTGGATCATGTGAGATTTTGTGTGTGCCCTTTAAGAGTGAAGTCTTTCTTTCCTCCAGCCCTCTGGGACTCCTGAAAGTAAACCTTACTAGCCTTCAAAGCAAAATGCTCTGGAGTCTTGTCTTCCTGGTGCAGGACCCCTGGGCTGGGGAGCCCGATGTGGGGCTCAGACCTCATAGTGCTTTGGGAGAACCTCTGTAATGTAGTTATTCTCCTAGATTTGGGTTTTCCTTCCAGCGGTATGGGACTTGACTATATCACAAATCCTACCCTTCTACCCATCTTGTTGTGTTTCCTTCTTTATGTCTTTAGTTGTAGAAGATCTTTTCTGGACGGTTCTGGTCTTTTTCATCAAAGGTTATTCTGCAAATAGCTGTGATTTTGGTGTGCCCATGAAAGAAGGTGAGCTCAGCATCTTTCTATTCCACTGTCTTGGCCAGTCCCTCCAGAATGAATTTTTAGAAGAATATTGAGTCTCTTGCAGAATTACAAAGAGGGCTAGAGCTATATACAGCCAGAAACAATGAATGCCTGAAATCATATCATTTTGGCCAGAAGTAGCTGCTGTCCTTGAGGCTCTAAATGCTTATTACCTTATGGCTGACCCCACTAACGCTGGACACTGTTTCCTACCACTGCCAGATTTCCTCACAGTCCCCCCATCTTTTGGTCAGTTGCTCCCAAACCACAGTCCCTTCCAATTTGAAGTGAAACATGTTGTTATGCCCACGAGAGAGTATAGGAAGGCACCTAACAGGCATTTCAACTGTGGTAGGAGGTGAGTGCTGCCCTCTACCAAGACCCACAAGGTAGAGATTTCCGCAAACACAGAAAGGGGATTGAGGCCATAGGTGGCCCAAAAGAACATATCTTCTGCTAGGTTTTAGACCCGTGCGGATTCATCTTTAATGTATTAACCACCTGGAGCTCTTGCTAAATGCACATTACAATTGAGAGGGCTGGAAGGAGGGGGGCTTGGCTTAGCCACACTGGAGACTGAGGCAAAAGGAAAAATCAGTGATACTGACCCTGTCTTTATTTAAAATTTTGATATTTGTTCATCATGGAATTTGCGTTAACCTTGATTTTTAAAATATTGCATTAAAATAGCATTCCTCTTGATTACTTGGTTTTTTGGCACCCAAGGCAAGTGCCTTGCTCACGTCACTCACTTTGCCCTTGTCTGGCCTCGTGAGTCAGTAGGTCTGGTCTGCGGCCCTAAGCTGCGTTTCTCACATGCTCTCGGCTTGTGCCCATGCTGTTGTTCCATGGCCCACGCTTTGAGTAAAGAGGTTGTAGGATCATTTTGTCTGCGATGCCAGACCATTCAATTCCAGTTTAGGATTGAGATAAACATTTTATTTGTCCCTACTCATTATTTTTCTCCAAAAACATCTAGTTAAAAGTATAATAAGGTACCATATAAAATGCCTTGAAATTTTTCTTTCTCAACAAAAGCTTTGTATAAATACAAGCTTTCTATAGATGGTCATTGAAATCAGTAAAAACTTCAGCTTGAAATTCCATCAGTGCCGAAGATCTTGTGGGTATTTTTTATTGAAAGATCTTTTTCCTTCAATAATGGACATTTTACATTAAAACTTTATACAACCAAAATCTCAAAATAATAATAAAATCACACTAAGGTATTTTTATTGTTAAGTCTCTACTTCATTTTATTGTTGATAAAAATATTGCAAGACAATTGTAACTCTAATGTTTCTGCTTTAAAATAAGCAATTAAAACTAAACATCACAAGAAGAGACAATGAATACATACTACAATTTGCTAATAACTGGCTAAAATGATAATTTAATAGTAATTAATGTATAAGAAACAATTGCACTTGAAAAATTAAAAAAGTAAAGAAAAAACCTCTAGTTTTGTAATATGTCTTATGAACAGAGGTTAATCATCTATAACCTTGCCAGGAGAAGTGTATGTTTGTTTAAATTAAAAAAAAAAAAAAAGCCTGTGTATTTAACTAGTAATCATTCATTTCTTTTAAGTCTTGAATTTTTTATATGCTTTATAGAATTTCCCCCATAGTTTGTTGATCAGAAAAGACTGCAACACAACTAAAGCAAAATAACACTTCATTGGTATTTAGTGCAAAGTAGGAGTAGTTTTTACATGAAATATTAAACATGTAGCCTTTAGAAGTTGTTGGAAGTAAGTGTTATGACTTACTTCCAGTATACTTTCCTCAGTATTACTCTTAAAAAAGATTTTGATGGAAATTTTTTAACTATTTCTCCTCCTTTGTATGGGATCAGTGGTAGGTAAGCCAGTACAGAGTTGACTTGTCTACTATTCTTTGTTAATGATCTGATTTATGCACCTGTTCTCTGCCATTACTGTGATATTATTCAAAGCTGACAGGATGACAGAAAAAGACAATGCAGAAGAATTAATGTAGCAGTATAATTCCAGGGCTCTAGGTGGAGAGATTCCTATTAAGAAGTGTTATATTAGTGAGGAGATCATTGAAACTAACAAATGTCTACATATTTGATTTAGAAATGAACATCACTGTGGAAAACATGCAGTGGAATATTAATTGCTTCTCATAGCCATAAAAAAAGTTAACGTTCCATTGATTCTTAACAGTCTGAGGGTCCACTATATATAATATTAACTCCAACTTGCAAAAGTACAACTATCCACTTCACCACACATGCCAGCTGCTACCATGAGGCTGAGCCATCGTTTCCAGAAAGAAAATGCCTTGTATATGGTAAATAACTTTGCTGTCATCCTTTCTTTAAGGTACATAATAGTGTAACAGCACACTGTCTATTGAGTAAGCATAGAGGAAAATGATACTAATAAAATACTAATGTGTTTTTGTAGGAGAGGAGAAAAGGATGTAATTCCTTCCCCTGCTGTACTAGGCAAAGGATTTGTACTTAGATTTTGAAGTCAGGATTGAAGAAAAAGGTAATATGCCAACACCACGAAATGTAGGTTAGTACCAGCAATGTGTGGGTTTGCTGTATTTCTGTGTGTCATGTAAAGCAAATTTAGGGAAATAAAAGTGAACATATGTGGCTTTTAAATTGCCAAGTCCTTTTTTTTATCACGTGTATAACAACAAGGCCACTTAAAACTCTGAGATGTTTTTAAAGGTAGCAAGGTGAATGCTCTACATTATAAATGCTATTGAACATTTGACTCTAAATATGAATTACTTGATTATGGTAAAGAAAGAAACTTCCCACAGGAAGTCCTTTAGTACAAAGACTTCAAATCTTGTCTTACTGTTAACTTTCCCTAAAGATTTAAAAGATTTTCAGAGACATGTAATGTCAATAAGACTCTTATACCCTGTAATAAATGGCTGGTTTGGGGGGGTTGTTTTATTATTTTTCCTGTCTCACTTTTGCTGCTTTGGGTGAAATGAGCCTCCCGTTCAGAGTTTTAAAATCTAGATTACACTAGAAGCAGTGTGTCCCACACTTCTCAACCTCTGTGATATACCGGAAGTATCTGAAGAGTTTTTACCAGAATATACACATCTGGCCCCATCCTCACAGGATCTCTGATGATTGAGTAGGTCTGGGAGGGAGCCTGAACTTCTTAAGAACAACTGCACTAGATGGGGATTCTCAGAGACAGAGAATTTGTAGCTTCTTTTTTTTTTTTTTTTTAATCATTTTAAATAAAAATGTTCCCTAGGAGCCAGCTGGGCCAAATGGTTAACGTGTCCTTGAGGAGAGTTGTGGTATAACGGGGCCCGTAGCTCAACAGTGCGGTAGAAGAGTCAATGGACTCGCTGTCTGTGTTACAGTTTCCTGTTGGGGCAAAATCATGAGAAGCAGACATGGGCAAAGAGTTGGGAGCCAGACTTCTACTTGCAATTCCCAGTTACTCACTGCATTCAGGCGAATGGGCACTCTTGTTTATATAAGATCCTTTCACTATTACTATAGAAAAGGGTAGAAATCCCCAAGCACATGGTAAATGGTTTGGAACAAAGAAACAGGAGTACAGAATCGAGAAAACTATTACAAAGATTGGCAAAAGTACATGTTCTGAGTGGTGTGTGGGTGTACGTGTGTGGAAGGGCCATGGAATGGGTGTGGCAGGCGCTCGTGGGAAGTTCTCAGTCTGGAGATTTTGCTTCATGTGGTCCCTAGGACGGAATTTTCTCTTTAGAATTAGGAGGACCTCAAGGCACCAGGACCTAGGGCTGTGCAAATACACTCTTTACAAGGAACACCACCAGTTCAGTTTCTGAACATTATTTTAGAGCCTATAAAACATGCTGCTTTTCCCTAGCTTCGTTTCTGTCTTTACCTCATATAAAAAATAAATTAAAAAAAAGGGCAAGAGAAGAGCCAATAACTGGCAGTAGGAATGGATAAGAGTCACTCTTTACTTAATAATCTGTGGACAGTCGCTCCAGGCCTTGGCTTTCCTTTTGGCCAAAGCCAGCCAGGCTGGTTCTGTTGACACGGGGGCAGCGTCTGGGGTAGAGAATCTCTTTGTGACTTCTTTCACCAGTGGTGCTGGGGGAGCCGAATCAGAGATCTCCACTAGATTGCATTTTGAAGGAAAAGGAGAAAGGAATAAGTCAGAGCCACATTTTGATTTAGCAGAAGTATGAGATTCAGAAAGGAAAACCCAGTGAAACACTGGGTATCTTTGGCGAGAAGAATTAGAGAAAGAAAGCTACGTGATCATAACTGTTACATACAGAATTATGGTGATCACAGTGCAGTCGATTCTAATTTCAGAGAATTTCTAGAAACCTAATTTTCTCTGTGCACAGAAGCTATGCCTGTGTAATAATAAGAGGTAAATTCTGTGATTCTAGGCATACAACCAGTCAATTTCATGAAGAAAAAGCTTAAACCAAGTAGTTTGAAGTTTGAACCTGTTAGCTGGTGAGGTTAAAAGCTACCTCCTCTACCAAGCATGCCCTGGGTCCCTCCTCCCTCTGAGGCCCATGGATCCTGCCAGCTCTTATCACTCAGACTCCTCTGACAATTCCTTTGCATCCTATCACTATTTATCAGACCTTAGAGGCTTTGTGTGGTGAGCGTCCCTTTGTGTGGTGAGGCTTTGTGTGGTAGAGCCAGCTCTGAATTGCATCAACCCTTTGGTGCTTCTAAGAAACCAGGCAGACAGAGGTTGATCTCTTTGACTTTGGAGCTTTCACTATTCTGCAAGAATTCTCTCTTGACACACACCAATATGATGTTTAGAATCCTTAATTCCTGAGTATAAGATCAAACGAAATAATGCCCTTGGAGGTTCTTGAGAAAATGCTCCAAAGTGGTTTTCAAATATAAAGTTTTTTTCTCCTCACCAAATAGTAAATATAGCTTTAAGAGTGAGACCTCTTTACATTTCCAGACCTCAGCTAGCAGGTATCCAAGGCATAAAAAAATCTTGGGTCCAGAAGTTGGGTGTCCTCTGAGGAACAGGGCTGCCTAGTGGGAAATCAGATGCCCTAATAACCCCTGAGAGGAAGTTCTTTCAGACCCTCCATCCTCCAAGTGATACGTAACACAGAAATAGTTACAAACATTATTGGATCATTTTATCTTTTAACAGAATAAAGAGTTTTTTTTTTTTTAACGTGCATGTGTCTCCTGTGTGTCATGAACATATAAACACTGCTGTTGTTAATTAACATCAAGGACTTAGAGCACAACAACTTTGTAAAGTCACACCTGGGTCAGAAATTTGCTGTCTGAAATCACATCAGTGAGAAGGGACCAGGGACCACCCCACTTTTGCCTGGACCATCTGAGCCACTTGGATGACCATGATTCAGAGAAACAATTTCCATTTCCAACTGGAGCACAGCTCCAGGTAGGGGTTTTCCAGTACAGCTTCCTCACATTTACCTTAAGTTTGTGGTGTCAAAGGAAACAGGCTCCTGAGTCCACTTTTCAGCTTAGGCTTGATATCAACTACTTTGCTTTGAGTCACTGCTTCATTTAAATTTTACCTAAAATTCACCTTTCCCCTGAATCCTAATCTTATCTCTTGTTTTGTTTAGAAGGTTCTTATGGTGTGCAGTCTTCCTTGCTGCAGGAAGTTAATAAACCTAATTTTGTTGGACTACAGGCAGTGGAGTTGGAGAGGGCTCATATCACCTTGTTAAAGGTTCAGGAATATAACGAGTCACTTGATATCACATTAGTAGCTTGAAATTAGCCATGGTTGGGAGTATTTACACCACAGCAAATACTACAAATCAGAGGTCTCTCCACTCCCTGAAGAACTGATTGTTAAAAGTTTATCATCACACCACTGATAGTGGGTGAGTTTCTGATGATCTTTATCAGACGAGCTTTATCAGTGTCAGAGTTGATGAATGGGGTTGTGAGACAGCTTGTGCTCTGAAATGCCTAAAATGCTGTGCTAGTTATGACGCTAGAGGAAATAAAACACACCCTAAGACGAAAAACTTTTAAGTACGGTTAAATAGAAATGGACCTGTTCTCTACCTGTCACAGATGTAGGAAGAGTGTTGGCCTTTTTCAGCTGTTCTCGGCGCTCGAGCCTGGACGCTGCTGTCTCTGGCTTCTTCTCTTCTGGCTGAGCGGTGGACTTGTGCAGGGAACCAGCTCTGCTGACACTGCTGCTTCCAGGCTGCGGGCTGACACTGACCTGGATGGACAGAGAAAGTCAGGGGGAGACTGACCATGCAAGGCAAGGCCTTGGAGGCTTCCATTGGCCAGCCCCCCGTTCTCTGGTCCCAGAGGAGGGGCCAGACTGCAAGGGGGAGCAGTGTGTGCTGAACCACCGAGCCGCTCAGTGCACATGTCCCGAAGAGGGGATGCTACCTACTCTCCCAGAAGAGCCCTTCAAATTAACTATACCGTCAGGGCCACAGAGCAAGATTCCTAATTTCCTCTCGACTCACTGCTCAAATAAAATGCTTCTTGTATTTCTCATATAACCTGTGTGAGCAGATTCTGCCAAATCAAGCTAACCGAAGAGCATAAGGAAACCAAATTTCTAACCTAAAATGCCTCCTTGTCCTAACAGTGGTCAGCTTATTTATTGCTCTACTGTCTAAGTATTCTCCAGCACTCTCAGCTAGCCTTGTTTTGTTATTGTCATCTTAAATCCTGTGAACTAAAAGAGCCAAGCTCAGGAACTCCCTGGCGGTCCAGCGGTTAGGACTCGGCCCTTTCACTGCCGGGGCCCAGGTTCAGTCCATGGTTGGGGAACTAAGATCCCGCAAGCTGCGCAGTGCAGCCAAAAGAAGAGCGAGCCAAGCTCAGGAAAACAAAGTTAGAGCTGAAGGCTAAGCTACTTACGTTTTCTTTGGAGAGCTTTTCGGCCTGTTTGGCCTCCCTGGCTTGCTTCCTCTCCTCTCGAGTCGCTTGCTGCTCCCGAAACCCCTTCTGCTTTTGCAGTGCCAACGTTATCCACAGTGGCTGCGCGGTTTCAACTTTCTCCACAAGTTTGGAGCTGTCTAAAGAGTGTCTGCTCTGAAGCGTCGGCTTTTCTGTGGGAAAAATGACTGTGATATTGTGATGTACAGTAAGAAATACATATTTGGTCTTTGTCCCTGTTTCTGGCACAGAACTAAAACCCTTGCGGTTTCCTAAGTGATGAGAGCATAAAGGTGTCTTCTGTTCTGCTAATGAGGTAACTTTTGGAAAGCACCTAAAGATGGAGGTTGGTTGCCAATAGAACCAATCATGTGATTAGAGGGTTAGAACTTTTAGTCCCACCCCCAAGCTCTCGGGGAGGGGCGAAGGGTTGGAGGCTGAGTTCAATCACCCATGGCCAATGATTTAATTGATCACGACTATGTGATGAAGCCTCCATAAAAAGCCAAAAGGACTGGTAAGGAGAGCTTCTGAGTTGGGAACACGTGGAGGTGCTGAGAGAGTGACTAGCTCCAGAAGCATGGAAGCTCTGTGCCCCTTTCCCCATTCATCTCTTCCATCTGGCTGTTCCTGAGTTGTATTCTTTATATATAAACTAGTAAGTAAAGTGGTTCCCTGAGCCCCTCTAGCAAATTAATTGAGCAACATAAATTTGCAATTGGCATCTAATTAGATGGGGGCAGTCTGGTAGGACTGAGCCTGTAACTTGTGCAATCTGATGTTATCTCCAGGTAGAAAGTCAGGACTGAAAGAAGTGAGTTGAATTGACACCAGCTGGTGTCAGAGAATTGTTTGGAGGTGTGGGCATCCAGCCCCCACATCTCCCCAAAAGAGTCAGTAAAAAAATCAGATGTGCATTGAAACTAACTACTCACTTGTCTCAGTCCCTCATCCCCTAAAGCTTGTGACAGTCATCAGGCCAAGAAATAGTCAACTATCCCTTTCTAACACAAACACGGTGCCAATACCTGAGTGACTCCACTGGGTGGGAAAGTAATATATTCAATCAGTGGAAAAAAAACAGGAGCATGTGTCTCCCCTCAAAATGGAAGAAAAAGTAGTCTCAAGTGTCAAAAAACCTCAGGCCTACAGAGGACCCAGGTAGTTATTTGATTCATTGTCCTGCTTTTATTGCTTTTTCACATTTTTTTCAATGGAAACTTCTCCATGTCCCCACCCAAACAAGTGGAATCCCAACGTATGAAAGAGAAAAAGGGGACACTGCAGCCTAGTGGGACCAGGACTCTGAGGAACACAGTGGGAAGCTGCGATTTTGGTCCAATGCCCTCATTTTTGCTTTGAATTTTTATTTATTTACTGGCGCACTGGGTGGCGTGTGGAACTTCCACGACCAGGGATAGAACCCGTGCCCCCTGCAGTGGAAGCGCGGAGTCTTAACCACTGGACCGCCAGGGAAGTCCCCAGTGCCCTCATTTGATAGATGTGAGTACTTGGGTCCATAACCATCAACTGCAGTGACCACGGTCACCCAGCACTTAGTGCACGGGCTGAAGCCTGAGCCTAGGACTTCTGACTTCCAGTCTGTGCTTTTATTGTGGTGGACTGTCTTGCCTACGCAACTGGGGGCAACCAACTTCCCAGGTAGATGGGGTCTAACACTGAGTAGTAACTGGGCTCTGGAATTGAGCAGACCTGGGTTTGACATTATGTGACCTTAGAAAAGCTACTTAACCTCTCCAAGCTTTCATTTTCTAATCCATAAAATGGAGATGAGAATGGCACATGCCTCATCAGGCTGATGTGAAGATTAAAAGAGGTCCTCGGTATGAAAACATTTAGAGTAGTGCTTGGCATGTAGTAACCGCTCTACAAAAGTGAGTGTTCTTGTTATTTATGTCTGTGAGACAATGATCCCCACTCCCCTTCTACTCCCCAAGTAAAAATTATGTGCTTTTAGAGATAACCATTCTGGCATTGGCATTGAATCCTTTACTATCTCCAAGGGAAAGGGCCCATTCTAGTCCTGTTCTTTGAAACCAAACAGAAGTCTACACTTTGATCCAGACCTTACCACACAGGGCTTTCAGTTAAGTGAACTTCATATTGAGGAGAAAGAACCAAAATAAGTTTGAATTGGGAATTCAAGCACAGAAATTCAGGCAGATCCTTAATTTTCTACAGCTCTTAGATCTGTAATGCTGTGCAAAGAATTCATATAATGAGCCTTGCGAATTTTAATATTCCTAACCAAATAAGGATTCAGTTATGATCTAACATAGGAAAGAAAACCGACACATTTCAGAAGTATTTTTTTAAAAAACTAAAACTGAAACTGAAAGGAGTTTTTGATTAGTTAACCAGAAAATCAAAAAATATTTACCACTTCGAGCATTCTACTTACCTGAGAAGCTTTACCTACATTGGAACGAAATGAGTTTCACCTTTTTACTCAAGGGCTGTGTAACACGTGTGCAAAATGGCTAAAAACCAAATCCCCCAGGTCTAAGTGATCTCCATTTAAAGCAGTTATGTAAAAGAGTCTCACCTGAACTTGCTTGGGAAGGTCATTCAAGCAACAGGCCAGTTTCCTGCCAACAACTTTGACTGGGTTTATCACAAGGGTCGAAATACCTTTAAAGCATAATTGCCTAAACTTACAGTTGACGAAAATAATTTGAAAAGGTAAATCTCTAGCCAGGTTTTTATCTTCTTAGATCTGTAGTTTGAATAGTACATCCTGGAGTTATGGACCAGACTCTTTGAAAGGCTGTCACATAATATGTATTAAGGGCCTAACGGGTCTGGATTGTAGTTGGGGATGAATAAACAGAAAACAGGATGTTAAAATGGGACTCATGCCTGAGTTTCAGCCAGGGATGCCCCAAAAGGTCATAGCAAATAATAAATGGCACTTGCTCCCGTGTTCTGAAGTGATGTGCTTGATCACCTACTCAGGACTAGACAACGAGGTGACCAAAACAGCCACCTCAAAGTCCTAGGAAAATCAGAGCTGAGGCAGAAGCAGCCAGAGTAGAGAATTTCTTTGAAATACATTGTTGGAGCATGGTGTGTTCCCACGTCCTCTCCCCAGCAGAGGAAAGAGGGCTAAGCCAAGTGAGAGGATCTCTAATGAGAGCACTCAGATAAACTCCCGGAGTCTGTGGGGCACAGACTTGAGGTTCTGTTTGCACCAGGAAAAGTCCAAAGGCGAGGACGGTGGCTGCCAGGGGCCTGTAGAAGAGGCGTTTGTGCTGGGAAGACATCTGTTACTGAGTGATGCTTGAGGTTCAGGTGCTAGCCATGTGGATGGGGGAGAGAGGGGCAGTCTGGAGGGGAACCAGGGACCCAGGGCTGCCTGCAGGAGGCACCACTGAAGTAGGGGAATTGCAGGAGGAGAAAGAGCCCAGGTGGCACATGAGGGGTCTGAGGAACACACAGAAGAATCAGCACTGAACATCCCCCAAGAGCAGTGAACGTTGCTGCCTCACCTCTCTCCCTTCCTTTGCTCTAGCTATGGAGCCTGTTTCTGGGCCAGGAGGAAGGGCAGAAGTCGACCAGGCCTGCACCCCCACTTTAGGCATTTCAGCCCAAAGCAGGCCAAATTAGGAGGGAGACACTTAGTTTGAAATACTGTTTGGAGTTTGATTATGACACTGGAGGCAGCATATAAATTACTAACATGAGATAGTTGTTACTAAAGGTGCCTAGAGGACTTTTTACTATCAAAAAGTAACTGAAAAGATAGAACTCCAATTCAACAACAACTAAAAATCCCAATTAAAAAACGGGCAAAGGACTTAAATGGACATTTCTCCTAAAAAGACATACAAATGACCAACAGCATATGAAAGGGTGCTCAACATCATTAATCATCAGGGAAATGCAATCAAAACCACAATGAGGTATCACCTCACATCTGTGAGAATGGCACGTGTGTGTGTGTGTGTATGTGTGTGTGTTTATCTCCCAGAAAATAACAAGCGTTGAACAGAATGTGCAGAAATTAGAACGCTTGAGTGATGCTGGTGGGATATAAAATGGTGCAGCCACTATGGAAACAGTAGGGTGGTTCCTCAAAAAATTAAAAATAGAATTACCATATGATCCAGCAATTCCACTTCTGGATATTTATCCAAAAGAACTGAAAACAGGATCTAGAAAAGATATTTGCACATACATATTCATAGCAGTGCTATTCACGATAACCAAGAGGTGGAAGCAACCCAAATGTCCATCATCAGATGAATAAACAAAATGTGGTGTATACATACAATGGGATATTATTCAGCCTTAAATAGGAAGGAAATTCTAATAGATAACTAATGAGAACCTATTGTATAGCACAAGGAACTCTACTCAATGCTCTGTGGTGCCCTAACTGCGAAGGAAACCCAAAAAAGAGGGGATACAGGTACACGTATAGCTGATTCACTTTGCTGTACAGCAGAAACTAACACAACATTCTAAAGCAACTATATGCCAATAAAAATTAATTTAAAAAAAAAGGAAATTCTGACACATGCTACAATATGGACAAACCTTAAAAACATTATGTTTAGTGGAAGAAGCCAGTCACAAAAGGACAAATTCTGCATGATTCCACATATATGAGGTATCTAGAGTAGTCAGATTCATAGAGACAGAAAGTGAAACAGTGGCTGCCAGGGGCTGGGGGAGATGAAAACGGGAGTTGATTAATGGATACAGAGTTGCAGTTTTGCAAGACGAAAAAGTTCTGGAAATTGGTTGTACAACAGTGTGAATGTAGCATTACTGAACTATACACTGAGAAATGGTTAAGATAATAAATTTTACATTATGTATTTTTTACCACAATAAAAGAAACTTGTAAAAGTGACTGAAAGAATTATGGGGGGGAATCGGGAAGACGGCGTAAGAGTAAGAGGCGGAGATCACCTTCCTCCCCACAGATACACCAGAAATACATCTACATGTGGAACAACTCCTACAGAACACCTACTGAACGCTGGCAGAAGACCTCAGACTTCCCAAAAGGCAAGAAACCCCCCACGTACCTGGGTAGGGCAAAAGAAAAAAGAATAAACAGAGACAAAAGGATAGGGACGGGACCTGCACCAATGGGAGGGAGCCGTGATGGAGGAAAAGTTTCCACACACTAGAAGCCCCTTCG